GAGGATTTGGTGAGAAAGGAACTCTTATACATTGTTGGCGGGATTGTAAAATGGCACAACCATTCTGGAAGGCAGTTTGGCATTTCCACAAAAAGCTGAACATAATGGTGGCCTAGTGGCAAGAAGCGGCACTGCAATCGCAGAGATGTGAGGTTCGAATCCACCAGATGCTCTACTGAAGAAGGAGGGACAATCTCCTTCTGTACCAGTCAAATCTGATTTGATGGTACACACATTAAAAAAAATAAAAAGTAATAAAAAAGCTGAACATAGAAATTCTAGATGATGTAGAATATTTTTAAAGCATTGCTCTCGACATAGTATTCCATTATGTAATTGTACCACAATTTCTCAATTCACTCAATCCTGATTATATATTTGGGCTGTTTCCTTGTCCCTGCAGTGGTGAATAATGCTGCTATGAAATATTTTAAAATGCTTATTATTAAGTATTTAAGTATTATTGAGACTTTGAATAAACCGGCATTTTAAAAATCTGCTGATGAAGAGATAAAATTGGTACAATCAAGTGGGAAACAATTTTGTAGTCTTGGACAAATTAAGTGTAGAGATGCTATCATATTGTTGAATGGCATAAAATGATTTCAGACTCATCATCAATCTATGTGATATTGTAGAATTGATCCATAGGTTTTGAGTCAAGATTTAAAGATTTAGGTGAGGGCTATGGCACAACCAAGGCTTCACTACACTTAGAATCTGATTGAATTATTCCACTCCCACCACTTTACCCAAAAGAAATGAATACCTATATGAAGACTTGTGCACAAATTCTCATAACAACTTTATTCATTATTATATCAAACTGGAAATAACCCAGTGCACATTGCCAGATAAGCACTTGTGATACATTCATATAATAAAATAGTACGTCATCAACAACAAGAATGAATTATTGATACAAGAGACAACTTGGATGTACATCAAAATGATTTTGTCCCATGAAAAAAGGACCTATAAAAGGAATATATGTAACATTTTTAAATTTGGATAAAGTCATTCAAAAGCAGATTAATGGTTGTTTGAAAGATGGGCAGCATGTTAGTAATGATAAAAAAAATTTGAAGATATTTTAGCAAATAGTTAACGGTGATGGTTATCTTAACTATATTAATTGTGGCAATAATTTCATGTATTCTTGTACACATGTGCAAATGCATGAATTTTTTTTTCTTCAAATGTATATAGTTTTCAGTGTATGCTATATCCGGATAAAGCTATGTTTTTAAAGTAGGGGAGAGTAGAAGAAGCATAGGAGGTAAGAACCATCATTTCTTTGTAAAATTTTATTTTTAAATAGTCTCATATTTACTCGTATGAGTTGAGTAAAGTAATCTGACAGAATAGTACTAGTAGACTTTGCAAAGGAAAATATATAGTCCTGCAAGTGGAGTTTCTTTTCCTCCTTTTTTTTTACAGTGGATTATGGAAATGTATTAATTTTGGAGTATTATATATTATTAACATCTACTTTTAAATATAATTCCTGAAGGCCAGTTCCTTCTTTTTCAGTGCTGTTGTGTATCATAGAGTTGGAACCTACTCATAGTTGACCTGCTGGCAGGTTTTCAGAGGCAGTTAATCACATGGGAGGAGATTGCTCAACTTTCTCTCATGGAGCAACTGGTGACATTGAACTGTATGCCTTTGGAATTGCAAGGCAGCTCCAGAGTTCCCTGTTTTTCAGTGTAGTATCCATAAAAAATATGCATTTTCACAGTCTGATTTTCCAAAGTATGAATATTCTTCAGTTATTGTTACACAGGACAGTAGATTTTTTTGTGTGTCAAATTTTTGATAATTCAGTTTCTTTCAGAATGTGAAAATATTAAATTTGTGTGTATTTGTTTGTGTGCATGTGTGTGTCTAATAGATAGCCTTCCATTGGATAAGCCAAGACTCATCAACAAACGATGTTATGCGGATGACACAGCCTTGCCTGCCAAAACTGAAGCTTTTGATGCAGAAGGACAAGGCCTGCAGTCTTCAATATGGATTGCATCTCAACATCAAAAAGACAAAGATTCTCACCACTGGGCCAACTGGCAGTACCATGGTATAAAGAAAATTTGAGATTGTTAACAACTTCCCTTATTCAGTTCCATATTCAATACCCGTGGCATCAGCAGTCAATAAATCAAAAGACAAGTTGCATTGGGGAAAATCTGCTGTCAGAGACCTCTCCAGAATGCTAAACAGCAATGACATCAGTCTAGAGAATAAGACGTACCTGATATAGGCCATAGTTTTATAATTGTCTGCTGCTATGCATCAGAGAGCTGAACGATGAATGATGACAGAAGAAGAATTGATTCATTTGAGTTGTGGTGCTGAAGAAGAATATTGAATATACTGCCAAGAAACCAAACAGATCTTCCCTAGAGAGAGTGAAACAAGTTGCTCTTTTGAGACAAGAATTTTGAAGCTGTGTCTCACATATTCTTGGCATGTTATCAGGAGCAGCCATCCCTTGAAGTAGTATACTTTGAAGGATGGAGGGCCTGTGCAGGAGAGGAAGATTTTAGATGAGATGGACTAAAGTGATGAATGGGGTAGTTGTGTCACAGACAGTGAGATTGGCTCAGGATAAGGTACGGTTCAGAGCAATTGTGCACAGGGTCACTATGAGTTGCAAGTGACCCACATAACAACAATAAATAAAAGTTTTATAATAGATTGTTTTATCCTAGTTTTCATTTATCTTGCGTTATAGCAATGAGCTATGAACACTCACACAAATTCTACTATTACATGTTGTTTGTTGTTGTTATGTGCTGTTGAGTCGCTTGCGACTCATAGTGACCCTATGCACAACAGCCCTAAACCGTGCTCTATCCTGTGCCAATCTCATTGCCCCTGACAC